TGATCAAGGCCAGTGCGCTCCATCACAGCCTTGTGATCATCAAATAGTCCTTTGAGCTGGATGTCTTTGCCCAACCACCTTATTGCAGTACATGACATGACATGTCATTACATGTGTAATGCACGACAATACATTTCATCACAATGCATGACACATGACAAGTACATGTAATACATAACACTTGTATTGTTGATATATTTATTTAAAATAATATTCAAAACATTCATGACAAGCAGCTGTAAAGCTTGACATCTAAGAGTGATACACTGAATGCAATCATTTACATATACTGAATGCAATCTAGGAACAAATCAATCAGATAGTTAGCCCTTGCCATATCACCCATCTTGACAGCAACTGCAAGTGCGACAAGGTGTGGCTTACTGCCTGTCTTCAAAAGTGGTCTGGTGGCTGTGGCTGGGAAGCCAGCTTTGGGAACACATCCAATGACAGGTACACCGGGTGGTGCTGGAGGTGCAGGTGGTGGTGGAAAGCTGCCTGGCAAGACTGGTTCAGGTAGGGGATTGATGGTAGCCCAAGGTGAGCCAGCAGCAGCACTAGTGCTAGGTTCATCTTCTTCCATCTCATCCTCTAAATCCTGTGGTTCCTTTGCCTCCTCAGCATCTACCTCCTTTGCTTCCTCTGCATCCTGTGCATCCTGTGCCTGCTCCTTCAGCTCCTGAAGCTCTAAAGACACATTGACATAGTCAATCATCTTATCGACCAAGAAGCCATAGCAAGTCCTCCATCCCAAGACAGAAGATACTGCTTCAGCATTCCATGGACACCAGAAGCTCTTCAGGTCACAACTGCACCAGGCCAAGGTTCTGGTGGTTGACCAATCAAAGGAAGGCTCACTGAGACTCTTGTCTGTTTGGGGACTGGAACTCAAACAGTACACATCATACAGCTGACAGTACCAAAGGAAACAGGTCCTATCAGGAGCCAAACCAATATTGTCACCACCAAGCTCAGCACTTTTCCACATAGGGCGACGGTTCCAAAGCCCATGACCATGGTATACACCTATGTAGGGTAATACCATCTTCTCATCATCTGTAAGGTATTCTGCCTCCCCCACCCTGCCAAGAACCAATGTGTCACAGTCATAGAGACTGACAACATCTGCTGGATCAGAAGGCTTTTTGTGGTGGTATGCCTTCATCAATGGATTGGGCTTGGGCTCTTTCACCTCAACTGAAATCTTCGCAGAAGCATCCAATCTGCTTGAAGGGCGAGCTGATGAGGATGCTGAGGATGCCTTAGGTGGAAATGCAGGCTCAGGCACTCCAGATGCCTTAGGCTGTGGAGGTGTAGCCTTCTTCAAGATCACCTGCTTGATGAGATGCTTAGGTGCCATGGCTTTGGATGCTTTTGATCACTTGGATGATTGGATGCACATGCAATGCCCTAAGTCACATGTAATTGGCATGTAGTATATGTAATGTCAAAAGCTCATTACTTGTACATGCATGGTCATGCAGTTCTCTGCGATCACCAACTGCTGATGAACATGTATGTGAACATCCACTCAACTGCTCATGCATGTAGCCAGAAGACTTGGTATCAGCCCAAAGGCTTGCTTGGTGAGCCAAAAAACACATGCATGACATCTCACAAACATGGTATGCCATCATACCAACATATGAAAACCATAGCTCATAGACATCATGAAGCCAAATTGGCTAATGCAACCTTACATGTTTCATGCCATCCAGCTATCATGAACCAATGATAGGCTTGCATAGTCATGTTTCTTTCCAATTGCAAGATGATTTATGTGACTGTACTTATGGGCCAACAATTGAGTTGATAATGTTTGTGTGACTTCTCTCAAGGATATTGCGCATCTATGCACACAATTACACATTTTTCTACATGGTTCATACTGCTTACTCATGCAGCCTTTTTGGCTGAAGCCTTATACTTTCCAGATGCTTTGTAGGGCCTCCTGGCAGAACCAGAAGCTCCTTCACTACCCTTGGCAAGCATCCACTGACAAAATGCTCTGACATTGTCAGCAGTAAATGCAATATGCAAGCCTTGTGTTTTCTTGGAAGCTGGTTGCACAACAAGTGTTCCATACTCTTCCAAGTCAAGCATGATGGGATCAATGCATTGTACTTTCCTCTTCTTTGCAGGCTTTGCTGCATCTTCAAATAATTTGGTAGGCTGAGCTAAGGCATCTAAGGCAGCAGTGCGCTTCTCCAGCAACTGCACCAAACCAGGTGAGCCCTTCAGAGTTGGCTGTCTTCCTATTTGTCCATGACAAAGCAGGTTGCACAAACCATAGCAAGCACTGGAAAGCTGCAGCCATTTACCCTCTCCAGACTCCATTTCCTTGACATAGCAGACGTGGATTAGCCACTTCTTGTTGGTGGCCTTCAGGTACACAAAGTGTTGCTGCCCAACTGTCACATCTGGTAGCTCAGAACTTTCAGAAGCCTCTTCTACAAATTCGCCATCAGAAGCCATGATAGGTTCTTTCACTGCGCACTACAATTGAAAAGAGTGCAAGGAATGCTGAAGCCAGGTCAAGTAAACCATGCATGAATGAATGCATGCATTCAACACATGATGACACAAAACATGAAATGACATGCAATGGTCATGAGCCAGCAGTGCCTTGCACAACCCTCATGCATGTCATGAAGAGCCAAACAGATTGAACATGTCATATCATGGTTCAAACCCTTCTGGACTCCCAAGTTGCTCGCTTTTAAGACTGCCAATCTCAAAGCCATTGTGGCTTGCCTGCTGCGCTCTCTATGCACAGCTTGGTGATGAGGATGCCTCAGGGGGATCAGCAAAGTATACATGTACAACTGTTGCTACACCTACCACATGGTTATCAAAATGGTACTCCCTACATCTATCAGTGGCAGTTTGTGCATACAGCCTCCTCTGTGAAATGATACCAGATGTATAGTTTCTGCTCCCTAGAAAAGAAGTCCCATTCATAGAGCCAACAAGGAGGAGCATGTTCAATGGCATGTGCGCTTGGAGTATGCAATGAGTCAATGTTCCATGGAAGCACAGGGTGTTCTCCAGGAAACTCATCAGGGATTGCTTCACCTGGTAGAGGAAAAGCTTCCACTGGCTGATGCACCATGTCAGTGGCTCCATTGGCAGGTGAGCTCTTTGTAGATGGCTTCTTTGTTGGCTTCTGGGTCTTCTTCTGAGCAGCTGCATTCTTCATGGCTGGCTTCTTAGTGGTAGGCATTTGGTGCGCTACACAAAGCACTATAAGTGATCAGCTCTACAGCACCTTGAGCTTTACATGTACACAACTGCACACCTCCCACAGCAAGACTCTTGCAACCCCTGAGACAACACCTTGTGGTAGCCATGTGCAGGCTTGCCATCATGTAGCGCACTCATGACATGAATGCATGAAGACTGGACATGTCATGTTCATGACATGTCATGCTCATCAATGCAATGAATGCATGAGTCACTAAGACTTAGCATGCCCATGCATGTAGCTATACAGCTTCATACTCAATGAACACAAGTGTGATAGCCTCCACTGCCTGTAGGTGATACCTATGATCCATGCTAAAGCCATACATGTACAATGCTAACACTAAATCCAATCACCCACACCAGTTGACCCACATGTTCATTGAAGCCCCATGCATGAACCAATAGCAAATGCATGTGATAGCCACAAAGGCTTGATAGGTGAACCATTCAATGCGCACACTTTCACTGCAAACAACTTGTTCCTATAAAAATCTTTCCACTTTCAATTAGTCATCCACTCATCCCATGCCAGTCGACTCACATGTTCATGAAACCCACAATGCATATCACATGCATGTAAAATAAAATGAACCAAGAAAACCAATGCATGTGTACATGTCAACTACCTCATGAACAGTTGTAATCTTATGCCTTCCTGGCTTTCTTGGATGGTGCTGCTTCAAACACAGCCATGGATCTCATGCCCAACTCAGAATGTGCAGTGACCATGTCTTTGTTGGTGAGGATCTTGATCTCAATGTCCCCAAGCTTGTGGCTGAAGGTGACCCACTTGTACTCCAACTGGCCCTCTTCAATCTCTTTGCACACCCAAAAGGGACTCAAACTGCCTTCATACTCACCAGTCTCATCATTCCACTTAGGGTGCTTCATGGGGATGATGTAGTACAGGGTACCTTCACACTTGATCTCTCCAAAGACTTTGGCTGATGGCTGCTTGGAGACAATGCTTCCAAGCTTCCCAGGGCAAGGCACTAGCTGCAATGCACCCTTCTTCAGATCTTTTTTGGCAAACAAAGCCACTGTTGGTGTGCTTTGAACAAGCACTTGGTTCTCATCAACATCCAGTGCATTGTATGCCTCATGGAGGACAAGGAACACAGCACATTTTTGAGTTTCTTCCTGACACACAGGAGAACTAGATGCCCACAGGTGCTGCAATTGCTCATCAGAAAAGAGCTTGGGCATTTTCTGCTTTGTTGGCTTGATATTGCATGCAATTTCTGTAGCCTCAAACTTCATAGTGCAGATCTTGGTTGGTTCAAGCAAAGGGTAATGCTTCAACACGATGTGGGTCTCCCCAATCTCTGTCAAAGCCCAAATGCGCCCTGGCTGATCCTTCACAGTGTAGTTCTTGCCTACAGCAAGGTCCAAAAGCTGCTTGGCCAAAAACATGGGGTTGTTGGCCTGGTCCAAGTCATAAGGCACTTCCTGCTCAGCTGGTGGCTTTGCAGTGGTGGATGAAGCAGCACTGGCAGCACTTGAGCCAACACCAGCTGTGGCCAAATCAGACTCCATGAGAGTCTTCAGCTCTTCCATGCTCCTGGTCTTTCCTTCTGTGCCCATTTTCTCTTTGGATGTGAGATGCAAGGCAAATCGAATACAGGCTTTGCCAAACATCTTGAACTGCATGGGCTGCTCCAACTTTGATGCCTTGAGTTGTTCCCAAAAGGTTGCAAGCAAAGACTCCACCTCATTGACCTTGGGATGCATCTTCTTGGCCTTCAAACCAGCCACATCAGTCTTTGTGATGAGCTTGGCCACTGAATCAACAATCTTCTCTGTGGTACAGTTTGTCACCACCAAAGCAATCTTGACCATTGGATGCAAAGTAGTCTTTGCAAACTGGGTCTCAACAATGCTGGACATGAACTCTTCTCCAAGGGTGGGGTTGGTGCCAAACTGCTTTGACATGAATGCCACAAAGTCAATCATGCAACCATCAGGTCCACCTGCAACATATTTATTGCAACATATATCTGTCACATGTGTAAACCAAAACAAACATTTCAACCCTTACAAACACAAATGAAGTGAGTTCATAACAAGCATGACCTTGCCTCCATACAGCTGAACAAATTTGCCAACATGTCGAGCATAGTGCTGCACAGGCCCTCCATGACAAAGGTCCATAGCCATCTTGGTGTAGTTGAAGTCCTTGGAGCTCTTGTTCTTCTGGGCCAAGACAATGCTGCTCATCAACTGCACTTCATTCTGCACTTCATATGTTGAATTGCTGGAGTTGCCAGCAGACTCAATCAAAGAAGGCATGGTAGGCCACTGCTGGGCAACAACATCTTTGACAATAGTCCATTGCCATCCCTGCTCCAGCATACAGGCCAGCTGCTTGTCCTTCAGGAGGTGGTTTCCCAAGCACCCACTAGGGCCAGCTATGGATGCCTGACTGGTCTGGCAACACTGTAGGATCGCTTTGCAGAATTGCACAGTGTGCCCCTTGGAGCATGTTAAATATCTTTCCTTTCCAGTGGGCTGGGGAAGCAGGTTGCTGGCCTCACTGGCCATGCTCTCATTGAACAAGATCTGTTTGTTCCTTGAAACCTCATCAACAGACAGCTCAAAGGCCACGCTCCCCCCCAACTGGGACATATCAGCACCTGCTGCAATGATTGTGGCCCCCTTTTTATGCATCGAGTAGGGGTTGATGCCTGTCCCTCCCCTGTTCAAGGGGTGCACCAAGAACAAGTCTGGGGTGGCCTGCAAGGTGTATGCCAGACCACAGTTCAACAGAATCTTCTCCACCTCCTGCCACTGACCCATTGGTCCCATGCAGGATCCCAAAATGGAATTCACCTGCTGAGCAATCTCAGGCGCGATGGCTGCCATGTCAAAGAATGCAAAGTAGATGGAAGCTTTCTAACACAAAGAACTTTGAGCAGTTTCAAGCTTGCAGTATATAAGTCTATTGACTTGCAAATATCCAAATCAAGTAACAGCCAAACTGCATACATTCAGCCAATGTGGCTTGACATGGTAGCATGGCATGAGATGAATGCACATGTTCTTCACAAGACTTAAAAAAAGTGGTTACAAGAATTGCTACAGCCTATGCAAGACAGCATGGCTCTAGCAAATGCATGCAGCTTAAACATGGACTTTTTCACATTCCAACAAAATGATTGTTGCATTTCATGTAGCCAATGTGGCTTGACAGTGGGACATGGCATGGAATGCATGCATTTCATGTAGCCAATGTGGCTTGACAGTAGGACATGGCATGGGGTGCATGCACATGGTTCTCATGAAGTCAAAAATCGCTTTATGTATGTGTTGTGGTGCATGCATGGCAAGACAACATGCTGGCCTGTAAGCGCGCCAAAGTTCTAGATTGGTATAACTACATGAAAAATAATATGTATGCACTCATGACAGCCAATCAGCTTGAACATGACACACAAAGTTCAACACCACACCATCATGGACCTGCAGCCCACTATAACAAAGCCCATCCTTGTTAATCAAAAGAAACATAAACCCTCACAAAAACAAAAAACATTATGAAATAAAAAACATCCACATCATCAATCCCTGTCATCACTTGTTGCATACAAATATTTGTGTTTTTTATTTCTATGTTGGTTGCATTAGCACTCATTTATGTTTGTAAAACACATAAAAATATGTGCACATATGTATTTAGATAACTACTCATAACCAGTTATAACCAAATCAGACTAACTGCTTATAACTATGCTAAATGCTTATAAAACTATACATAAATGATGTTAAGTTGTTGTAAAGTTTCTAGGACTTATGATTTTAAGTTGCTAAGTGTTATGGAAGTTATACTATAGTATACAATGTTATACCATATATATAAGTATGTTATAAATGCACTTATACAGCCTACTAACCTTTATAAGCCCACGGTTCATCCCAGTGCTACCGCTCTCGCGAGCGTGTGATGATTTTTTCCACCTGAAGCAAAAATCTTTGACTACTATGCAAGCCAAATGCAAGCAAGTGATTCATCGCAAAGGAAAATACATCAAAAAGAACCTCGGGTTTGCTTTGGATACACTTGAGATTCTGCGGCTGGTGCCTACCTTGCCTCTCTTTAGCTGGCTGTGGAAAGCTTTCCTAGCCACGCTCGCTAGCCTTGGCGAGCCAGAGTTAGCCAACTACCTCAAGAGTTACGAACGTGTTCTTCCGGCACAATTTGCTTGCCAAATGTTGCCAGATGACATTGTCTACGTCAGCTTCTGGATTGGCTTTGACGGCATCATCTCCGGTTCTGGTAGCGGCAGCGAGCCCGCAGAAGCTTTGCATTCATCTTGGCAACGCGAGCTCAGTCAGCTCGGCGGGCGTGGCAACATCAACCATGGCTTGCAAGTCTTGCAGCAGCTCTACACGCAACATTGGAAAGATTGGTACAAACGGGGTGACTCTTCATCTTTGTCTTTTGCGCCAGTAAGTCAAGATCCGCAGCTCATCAATGGCACAGCTTTGGTTCGTGCTGGACGTACACCCGCTGCCCATTTGAACAAGTTGCCTCGTGATACCTTGTACATCCTGCACCCATGCGCCAATCTTTCTTGGGTCGCATTTGCAAGCGCTGCCAGAACATCCCCGCTGAACTGCAGCGTTGCGCGCAAAGTTCTCCATGTCCTTCTACACCCTGAAACCTTGACTGCGCACAGTTTGCCAGACCTCTTCGCTGCTGATGGAACCCTTTCCCTGGAGTCTTTGCGGTTCCATTTTGAAAGCATCGTGTATCTCAAAATCAAATCAACTTCGATACTATGTTCTTGCCTGGCAGCCGCCATGCATGCACAATGCGAACATTCAACATTTCTTCGTAGTTGCAGCCTTCCCAACTTTTCGTCTCCGGCTTTGAATCTTTCGACAGTGCCAGCCAACAAGAAAGGTGGGCGAAAGAAAGCTTCCAACCTTCCCCCGCGCAAACGCCGCCGCGTTTCTTCCTGATGCCACAAACAAAACTTTCTTGCTGCCATGGAAAAAGGTGAGACATCAAACATTATCTAACGCAGCTCTTTCGTTTCTTTGGTCATTAAACGTTAAACTTTGCATTTTTCATACTGGCTGTGCTTTACCGATTCTGCTCGTCGATTCGACACTTCTTCGCAGTGCGTAGCCATACTGTACGATCTGTCACCGCTGCCAGGTCTTTCTCGCCTACCGCGTCGGGGCGGGGTGCGGCGCCCAACTAACTATACGCACGGTTTTTCTTCTCCCGTTAGCGCCCGCCTTGCCGTGGCGGAGAAGCTCAGTACCGCGCAACTGCGCGGGAAGCTAAGCGGCGCTTGTCGGCCTGCAGCTGCATCTGCTATTGCTTGGTCTCTTGTATAGCTGTATGTCGCGATTGCCGGTTGCCATTGCCGGTTGTTGCAGCGGCTAGATGCCTCGGTGCTGCTGCTGCTGCTGGTGCCTGCTGCGGCTGCTGCTGCTGCTGCTGCTGTGCTCTGTTGCTGCTACCGCTGCGGCTGATGCCGGTGCTGCCGCCGCTGCTGCTGCATTACTGCTACCGCTGCCGCTGATGCCGCTCCTGCCGCTGCTGCTGCTGGTGCTGCTGCTGCTGCTGTGACCGGTCCGCGTGCTGCCTTTGCTGCTGCGTTGCTGCTTGCAAGGCAACAACAGCTGTCGCAAAAAACACCCCTCACGGCTGCAAAAAACACCGCCGTCGCAAAAAACACCTCGAGACGTACGCTCCGACGAGTTGTGGGCTGACCACTGTTGCAAAAAACACCGCTCACTGATGCAAAAAACACCGCCGTCGCAAAAAACACCTCGCGTACGCTCCGACGATTTGTGGGCTGCCCACTGTCGCAAAAAACACCGCTCACTGACGCAAAAAACACCACCGTAGCAAACAACACCGTGCAGACGTCCACAAAAACACCGGTTCCGGGCTCACCGTGTGAAAAAACACCCGTGGAACTGTTGCAATAAACACCTTCCCCAGAGCTGTCGCAAAAAAACCCTGAAACGAAGTACTGTCGCAGAAAACCCTGATTACTGACGCAATTTACCCGAAGCCCTGTACCGAGGCAGGAAGAGATTGATCCCTATCCCTGGCGAGTTAGCCGCTTTGTCCACGGCTACCTCGCAGGGCAGACAGCAGCTTGTCGGTCCGGCCATATTCGACGGTCGGTGTGGGTGAAAATGGTGGAGGTGAAAGAGCTCGCCGCAGCGGATTTGACACCGATCCGAGGTGCCGCTGAGCATCTTTCGACCCCTGCAGCAGCTGCGCCCCAGCGAGCGAGCCAACGACCTCCGCAGCATCTCCAGCTGGAGGACCGGGGCCTCTTTGCGCGACTGTGCGCGACTCCGCGGAGGTCAAGAGGTCAGGAGGTTTGGGTACTAGGTACCTTTTTCTCTTGTCTCTGTCTTCTTTAGAACTTTAAACTTTCGATATCATCCTACACCTTTTCTGTCCTTTTCCCTTTGTGTTTTTGTTCTGAGCTCGCCCTGGAAATGATCCCAGTACATCGAAGTGTCGGTTCAGGACGGCACCACCGGGAGTTCTGGCCCCTCGGCGAAGACTCTCCCGAAGAGGATGAACATGTCACTGACTATGTCACTGGATGAACATGTCTTTTTGAAGCAAAAAAACTTTGGAGGCCATCACTAGGTTGGAGGCCATGAAAAAGATAACGTTTTGTCACTCTGACTCTACGGTAACCCGTATTGCTACACATTGATCGCTCAAGAACTACCTCCTTCAAAGGTCCTGCTGTGTCCTATGAAAAACCCAATTGATGTCAATCATAACTCGTTGTTGTTGCAGACGTGTTTTCAGCGAACTCGCGAACGTCATTCCTGGTGCTTTTACTCTGGCGAGGTGGGGTGGGTGGGTGGGTGGAAAAACGTGGATGTCACGTCCAGATCACGCCGCTCTCTGACTGTTGAATCATTTTTAGATGTAGCACTATGTCTAGTGGAGATACTATAGCATGTCTTTCTATGCCATGGAATCACAGTCCTTTTGTTCGGTGTGTCCTCTGATCAAAGACACCAGTTCAACCCGATCCATGTCCCTCGATGTTTGGAAGCATTGGCATGAATAGAAGTCATGACTCATGACAGAGGAAATGAAGGTCAAAAAGCAGGATTTGCGAATACGAAGAACAGTGATGGAGAATATGTCCTCACCTGATACTGGAAGAGATCAGGACACAGGCTGACCTTCTGCTAGCTCAGCCTTTGGTGGCCCTTGAAGGGCAAATGCTGAACTCTATAGGTCCGATGAGACAAAAAAAAGCTCCAGCTCCAGCTGGTTCCTTGGGAATGTTCGGACTCGGGACGTGGAGAACGTCGCATCATATTCCCAGTTCTGCTATAACAAGTTAAGGCCATGGTTTAGACACGGGTCACCGAGAAGATCAATTAACAGCGATCTAAAGAGTGGCCAAGCCTGCTATATCATGATCAGTGTGTGGGGGGTTGCACTCATTGTATCAAATCAGGTCAGGCCCAGACCAGCAAAAAATGGCATGTTTGACATGCAATGCAACTTGCATGCTCACAGCGTGGTATCAGACACTGCTGAGGTTGTGGTCGTTTGCGGCTTGATTTTCCACCGGGGCCAGGGCTACCAGAAGCTCCGGGGTGAGGCGGGGCCAGGGGGCGCGGTGTGAAGGCCGTTGGGCCAGCTGGCCATGGAACAACGCGTTCCTTTTGGAACTATGCATTTGTTTGTAGCATGACAAGTGTGAATGAAAGGAGTATAAAGGAGTGAAAAAGGTCCAAACCAGTTTTTTGCTTTCGCACATCTTGTAAGATCCAAGGAGGGAACTCTGGTAAGTATGGTTTCGGGGCAGGGCCTGACAGATAGAGTTTGAACATCCACACCCCCGACCAGCTGGTGTGATATGACCCAGTTTTGATCCCTTGCCTTGAATAGCGCATGTCCAATAGATTCCCTTTGCCAACCCGAACCAAAACTCGCTTGCTTGCTTGTTTGCTTTCTCCACAACTCACCACATGCCACACGTTTGTCCCAATAAAATATCCCATCCAACAGATGCGGAGGGCGGAAGGTCCATGACTGGTGTCCATTTCCCCTCGCAGATCCTAGCGACCAACCCCATCACCTGGCGCCGCGGGGCAGACGATGCGCGTTCCCAGGCGCGGACCTCGGGGGTCGGAAGGACGCGGTGGGTCGGACTGGACTTGCACTCGGTGTGGGTCCTATGAGCGCTTCAGGCTCAAGAGTAGCCAGGCAAGATCTGCGGTCAACTCAGTTGAGTCGGAAGGTCCTGGAGGAGCGTACAACTCGCTACCACGTATAGATGTGCCCGTCGGGGGTCTTCAACACGCCAGCCAGGTCCATTATACCATCAAGGAGCGGTCCTCCTTGAACCTAGGTCTCGCCCAGTTGATAGGTCTCTGTTCAATTTCTATACTATGTGGGACTAAAGACCGCATGGAATCTGACGTAAGCCTTGTTATCCTGTGTGCTGGCCCCGACCTTTTCGTTACTTGTTCCTCATCTTAATCTCTGATTCCGTTCCTTCGGTTCCTTGGGCTCCCCGTAAGCGCACGTGAAGCGCAGCGTGAAGCGCTCGATGCGCTTCTTCCTGTCGGGCAGCGGCAGCACCGCAGCCATGGCCAGCCTGAGCTACTGCGAGCGCGTGGTGCGGTTGACACGGAAGCCGCCACACGAGCTCCACTTGGCCTACTTGGGAACCTCGGACCAGTCACCCGCACTTGCGACGTCAGTATCGAGCAAAAAAGAACGGATGGTATTTAGGGGTCCAAAAAGAAAACGGGAAAGAGAAGAATAACAAAGGTATTTAGCAGAACTTCACACGCCCTGACTACAGCTACGAATGCTTTCCAGGTGGTCTTGGTCCCTGTTCTACTGATTCCTTGTGGTGCTGAGATTGTCGCTAGGGCTAGGATTCTAGTCCAGGACGTTGAAGTCCTTCATGGCTGTCTTGTTCATCAATGCGTCCTACACATGCCCAATCCCTTCACAGCATGGCGTAAAAACATAGAATATCCCGAAGAAAATGGTGTCTTGTTTTCCCACCCACCCCGTGATTGCGAAAAAGATGGAGGTGTTCAATTCTGACATGTTCTACACTTCTGTTCCAAGTCCACCTTTGCGAAAGGACTTGTCAAAAACATCGACTCGATCTCACCGAGATCGTGACTCAACCGTTTTGCTCCCGTTCTGCGGAGAGTGTCCTTTGGGGTTTGGGGGGGCAAACGTAAAATCACAAAAAGTGAACAAAAAGACAGTTCCTCCCACGTGTGAGGAACTCCCATGTATGACTTGGAGCGCTTCCGCGTGAAGTTGTTGACGCCCTTCCTCCAGCTGGGCGTCACCTGTCATCCCATCGACCTCGTGGAGACGCAACGCCTCTCGGAGGAGCACCGAGCCTGGCCACTCGGACGGAGCACCGGGGGGTCGGTTTTGAGGTCGGTGTTGGACCGGGAAATCCTTCCACCTTCCTAATCTTGTTACTACTATAGCTTCTTGTTACTACTAGTAAGGCACTTGCTCCTAGTAGCGATGCACTTGTTCCTAGTAGCTTCTTGTTACTACGTTCTTTTGGAGTATACATGCAAGATCATCCAAGAAAGACTCGCAGTTGGGTCAAGACTGGGGTTGAGCCAGGAAGTGGTTCAGAATTGTTAGCGGAGGCAGCCGTTGACCTTTCTACCTTTGGGAAGGCTGGCTTCGAAGCATGTTGGTAATGGGACTCTAGGTTTCGGCAAGGGGGTGAATCTAGGATGATATCATTCACAGGGAGATGGAGTTGAGACGCCATCCTGAGTCATCACGTTCGGGGTATTGAGCACATGTGGAACCAAAAACTCCTTTAATCCCTCGAAAGTACAAAGAAACAAGCATCGCAAAGCCCAAAATACAAAGATTCGTCTAACAGAGATTGTACACCTTCACAACTGGTCTGGCAGCTAGTGACTCCAGGGCTCACATGCAGTTTGGCACGTTTTGCCTCCACAGAAACGCTCTTCACCTGGGCCAAAGCGAATTGCGACCTGGCAGACTCACCCGTCTTCGAAGAGTTTGGCCACCCTAGTAGCGATGGCCTCCATCCTTGGACCGATGGCCTCCAACCTAAAAGCAATGGCCAGCAGCATTCAGTTGGCTCGCTGTGAGGTTGCTGAAAAGCGACATCATCTTGGTCAGCGGTGGCAATACGTCGCTTGACCAGAGACGATCCATAGGGCTTTGGCTCAGGCCTCGTCCAGACCTGAATGGCAGTCCCAGTCTGGGCCCGGTCGAAGTTTCAGGATGCCGAGGATGCCACTGGTGAAACGATTCCCAAGAAAGCTTCTAGTCAACCATGCTTATCCCCTCCCTGGCGGAATCAGTAGAAGTGCTACGAAAACGGAGTCGTTACCCTTCACCCCAGACGAGCGGACCACTGGGCGACTGGAGCTCCGGTCTCTCCGTCTTTCAAGGTTGTATGCCATGGATCTTTGGAAGGCTACCGGTGTGGCGGAGCTACTGGCAGAAGTCAAGGACACCGCCGTTTTCTGCGGAGGCCTTTTTGGGATGGCCTCCAACCTAAAGAGCGATGGCCTCCAACCTAAAGAGCGATG